AAATAAATAATAATTAGTAAATATATTTTTGTACAGTACAAGTAGTAGACAAGTAGACAGGTCACCTGGTAAGTCACAAGTCCTCTCCAGCCCTTTAAATCTTCTGTCCACAGAATCGGAGGGGGGGGGGGGTGTTATGGGCTTCGGTTACATCACTCACTCAATAAAAAGTAACTACAGAACTGCTTAACACCAGTTTTCTATAAGGCCGTTGTATCGCCTCTGTTAAGCCTCCTAATTTGTGCGGAACCACGGCTATCCCACGATTGTTGAAGTGAAAACTTCTTAAAAAAAGAATGTATTTTCTGAGATGGGAAAGAACCATTGAACTCGCGACATAAGTATCTACATACATTATATACATAATATATACATAAGTATCTACATAAATTAGCCCCGTTTACACTAGAGTTGAGTTTGGGTTGAAATACACTGATAACATAAATATATATTTAAAATAAATATATATTGTGTATATACGTACAACAGATTTATATATTGTTTTTTTTTCTATTGAAAAAAATAAAAAAAAACCTGTTATGATAAAAAAATAATCAAGTTTTCACTCCGGTCGGAATAGCCACTGTTTTTTTATTTCAACATTATTACCACCTATAGCTAAATCAACCGCAAATATAAATGTGAGTCCTCACATTATACTCGTAATTACAATGTCAGCGAATGATAACAATGTTCTGGTTACATACATTGTTACCGAACAGTTCAGCTCTAATTGCATAAAGTTATACGAGATATCCTCGTTAAAAGTCCTCAAATTTGCAAGACGTTTTGTGAAAAGTTGAAGTTTTCCATGTTTGCATTTTCGTTAAATTCAAGCTTCTCATAATGGTTTTGTCGTAAAACTATTGTGTGTAGTCTGTAATAAGTTAATAACATACTCAATTATACATTTTATTAATTGTACTTTTAAAATTTTAAATATTGTTGTTTTTATGTGTTTACCTGCTAGGCTGCCGCGTAACTCTATCACACCACTTTCTCCGCCCCTTAGAAGAACAGTTCTTGGCGCCAATTCTACGTAAGGAAGAATGTTCAAGATAATAAATACTTTTAGACTAAAGGTATTTATTATCTTGGACATTCTATGTCTGTATGTCCGAAACATCACTAAAACTTTTAGTGATGTTTCGGACATACAGACATAACATCACTAAAACTTTTAGTGATGTTTCGGACATACACGTTGGACCAATTTAAAAAATAAAGTCATTCGTTAGTTTACTGGATACAGTTGCACAACAAATTTGAATTATTTTAATTTAATGTGCATGTAGTTTAAGGTTATTGTTTGAGCTTAAAAAACAATGTATGTACAATTATTTACCTGTAAGTAATTGTTACTTTGTTATATGGTTTTCTTTAGCATGTGTTTAGCAAATGTTGGTAAACCTAAAAAAACGAATAACCAAAATAATAGAAGGAGAAAGACATGCTGCTTCAGTTCATCATCATCATCATCTCAAGAATCAAACTATCTCCATACCAAATTTCATCTAAATAGGTTCCGCGGTTATTTTTCCCCATACAAAGATCCACCCCTAAAGGGTGCTTTCTGGGAGAAAAACTTTCCAATGTGCTTTCCCGGGACTTAAACATTTTAAATTTCATCTAAATCGGTTCAGTGGTTTAAGCGTGGCGAGGTAAAATATAAATGGAATATTAGTATAAAAAAAAATGTATGAGCCTTACCGTGATCGCTCATAACATCTTAGCGCACAAATACGAAACGCACGCTTCCACGGCTTCCTGTTACACATTTCTGTCCCTTTTGACACTCACTGCCAGAGATTGCAATCCAGAGGACGCTTATCGTCGTCATCAACAGCCTTTTATTAATAGTCAACTGCTGGACATAGGCCTCAGGTTTGGGCCTACTACACCACACTGGCCAGACGGGATGCTATAGGGTTTGTGTCAAGTTTTCCTTCTCTTAGCAGTGATGTTGTGCTGTGTAGTTTACTCCCTTAGTCAGCTCTTACGATACCCACCGGATGAATAAGGTTGGTAACACTCCATTCTTCATTCGTCACCACACGGATAACTGCTTTAATTATTTTTACAAATTTCATATTAATTCAGATCATAATACAATATACTAACAATATAAAATAATAAAAACGCGCTAATGTATCATTCTAATCCAGGCGGGCCAGACTTCTGAATCAAACTTAGCATCTAATAGAATTAAATTCAATTCCATGAGTAAACAGTTCCAAATTCTTCGATAAAGATTTAAAGGGGAACATCGAAACGTCTATTGAACGACATTACCATGCATTAAAATTCGTCTCCGAAGCAAATTGTTATCGTTGAAAGCCTAATGACGTATTTGCATGGGAAAAGAGTTCCACTCCAAGACAAACTTGTTCTTAGAATAACGAAAACGATCGTTGTACTGGAACTTGTTTTTGGGTAAAATTGATCGATTTTGTTTCGATCGAACTTGAAAATTTAATAAATTCATCATATTAATTAAAGTAGTAACACTGATTAAAATCAACCTCCCCTTGAAGTGTAGTACTAAAATTCTGCCTACATCTATATCTGAAGTGTATGACTAATTTTTGGTAATTTTTTATATATTTAGACATAAAGTAATCGAACCGCTTTAAATTATGGCAATCCAGCGCAATCCCTGACCTCGATGTGGGGAGTTGTTTCATCTCTTGATAAAGGGCCCAGGTCAAGCCAAACAAATAAGCTACCTCTGTCACTACTCTTTAATTTATTGCACAACTAGCTTCTGCCCGCGGCTCCGAATCCTTGGATATCGGTTATCGTGATAAAATGTAGCCTATGTTACTAGCTGATAACGTTGCTTTCCATTGGTGAAAGAATTTTTTAAATCGATTTATCTGTTTAGACTTGAAAACGTAACAAAAAAGCAATCTCACTATGACATTTATAATAAAAGTATAACTTTAACTTATTAACTTTTCCAGACTGCACGTCAAGGCCGTCAGTAATAAAAAAAAGACGTGTGGCACTAGGGGACTGCCGCGGTAAAGCTATTGCATAGCATTTTTTATCAACTCATGCAATTATAATTATTTATTTATTTTATTTATGCAGTATTTTTTTCCTTTGTTTTTTTTTTTAAGAGAAGCGAAGAGGGGGATTGCGCATGAGCAGTAACGCCGATACAACCAATGCCACCTAGAAGCGAGTTGCTGAACTAAAGATACAAACGTGATATTTCAAAAAAGTCATTAAAAGTTTTGCTATTCATCGATAGATGGCAAAACTAAAAAGTATCACGTGGGGTGTGTTAGATTATTTTCGTTACGGCATTTCTGGATTCGGTCTCCACGCTCAAGGCCCGCGATAGAAGCTATGCAATAGGTTAAAATCTTTTCTAAAGCGGTTTAAGGTTTTTTTTTTAAATTTACGTGGCAAACATCGTTATATCTAGCGTACATAAAATGTATGATAGTAAAATTAGCTGAATTTTAGGATATAATTCAGAAGCCTTTTCCCTATTCTTAAATCGAATTTATTAAAAACTTTATGTTTATTTTTTTCTAAGACAGTTTTATCTGTTTTATCATAATTGATTTCACTGCCCACTTTCAACGCACCGACAGTTCGTAATTAAAAGAAACATTGACTCCATAAATGGGCAAGAAATCTTATTGACTGAAGAAAAAGAAATATTAATTGAGTTAACTATCTTATAAACATTTTCACATCTGTGTAATAAGATTTAATAGGTATAATATTAATTTTATTGAACTCAATTGTTGAGGGGCTCGAGTTTAAGTCGTAACCGAGTAGGTTAACATATTTATTTATTTAATTCATACATGAAAACTTACAGCTAGAAACATCAGTAAAATGACGCAATTAATCATCTGAGAGCCAATTACCAGTTTACACTTCTAGTTACAAACTAACAAAAGTTGCTGTAAGCAAATAAATTAGGAAAACAAGAAAAAACAGACAAACAAGATTTAAAAAATTGAACCAAATCACACAGTAAAATCACAGCAACTGTATCAGCGCTATCACTGATCGGTGACTATTCGTAACACATTGAGACCCCTCTGGGATTCGACCAGCCATCGGTCTCGGTTGCCATACGAACATCTGTGGCAACCGCTACGGGTAGTTGAAACCCTAAAAAGTCCAACGACAGTCTATTAACAGAACTTCGATATCGCCTAGTACCTGGGTTGTAGAGGCCCGATAGCATAGGTTCCAAGTTAAAAGTTCAGCCTTATCGTAGTAAACTTAAAGCTTACCCCAACCTAGTTTTGGAAAAGGCTCGGAGGAAGATTAAATTCAATTGTTACTGAAAGCGCATATTTTAACATGTTTTATGGTATAGAGGCAACGAGCAGACATGTCATCTGATAGTAAGTGACTACTGATGCCCATGTATATACCTGTACCTCAAGTAGTCATAAAATTATTAATATGTAAGAATGATAAGCCATAACCTCATTTTTAAGGAGAGGTCTATGTCCAACAGTGGACTATTAAAGGCTGTTGATGATGATGATGATGAATGATATCAGAACAGTATCATTACCATTCATTTCTGCGTTATTTTGGAATATGGTCTTAACAGACCGATAGATATACATGCATACAAACAGACAAATGTAAGGTAATCTAATTTTGCTAGTTTATTTTTTCTTTTAACGAACAAAATATTTCATCCCCTATTACTCTTGGCACATCATAATGCTGAACTTACCTCATCTTAAAATTTCTGTCAGTGAAATAACTTTGGTAATTGGTGCTGCTTGATAATATGATTTTCCCATGAAATTAAATGAAAATTCGATGATAATTGATTTCTTCACTTGGTTATGAGGCAGTTATAGGTTTACAATGAACAAAACTAATTACTACAATACTAGGAAAATCAATCTTTCAAACTTGAGACTAGTTTAGTTACCTGACAAGTCAGACCAATTTTTTACATCTATGTGTGTATCTATGTTTTTATTAAACTACTTAATTAGTTTGCTGCTATGAGTCGATCTGTGTTACTGTTCATCGTGATATTAACAAAAATAACTGAGAATACTTTAAATAGTTATGAATTAGTCCAACCCGTGGAATATTATCCATTTTTTGTTGCTATACTGTACTACTTTAGTGAAAAACATCTATTACGACAATGCACTGGTTCTGTAATAAAATCACACATCGTGTTAACCTCTTCGCACTGTTTACAAGTGAATGTAGGCTTTATAGAATACGACTTAAGCACTAAGCCTAAAGAGTTATCTAGTACAAGTGAGAGGAAACTGAAGAAGGTTATAAAGATGATACGCCCAAAGAGAAGAGGAAATAAACCAAAATTTGTGGATGAAATTGCAACCGTAGGATTGTTAGTTATTACTCCTTTTCTTCTAGAAGATGACATGGAGATTTATGGATCTGTATCTTTAACAGAAAATTCACATATAGGTCAAACTCTCATTTTCGCTGGGCTTAGACCTCTGGAATTACCTAAAGGTTTTAAAGGAACACATGTGCCAGATCCAGATGTATTTACAGGAATGGGTACGGTTGTTAAATGTCCGGCTATGAATTCTATATACGGTTGCATTAGAGAAAATGGGTATGAGATGCCTGCAAGATCAGGTGGTCCGGTGATGAATGGTGATGAAATTGTGGGAGTAATTAACCAACATTTTAAATTTGGATCCATGGAATTAACCGACACGTTTACATTTATACGTGTAGCTAAATATAAGTCGTTTATTGATGAAGAATCAAAAGCAGCTCAACCGAATAATAAATCTTTTAGTTCAGAACGCAAATCAGAGTCTCCTAAGAACATAAGGCGAAAAAAGAATGAACTTACTAGAATATCACTTCGTTTGAACATAAATACATCATTTTGATAGCAATTAAATGTATATCCTTTACAGACATTTTTTTTTATAAAAGTCTAACTCCAACACCCTCAATATACCTTCAACATGGACATCCTTGACGACGAGCAGACTGGTCACTTGATGGTAAGTGACTACCGCTTGCTCATGAACACCTGCAACTCAAGAGTCCTAAAGCGTTGATTCCTTTTGAAACCTACCTCCACGATTCAGGGGGAGGGGGGGAGGAGTATGTTGGTCTTCGCTAACCTTACTTACTCCGTGTAAAGCAACGAAAGAATGGCTATACAACTGTTTTCTATGAGGTCGTGGTGTTACTGCGGTCAGCCAATTTATGCTGATGTATGCTCTTCCACGGCAAACTGATGTTATGTTATGTACCTCCAACACAAAGTGAGGATCCCACCGCCCACGTGATGATATCTCTCTAATCACGGTGTAGTGATGATATTGGGAAACAAGAAAGAACCGTGTTGATGCATTCATAGTTACTAAATAGTTCAAAAGTCGCCACACTAAAAGACACCCACACATTTTGCAGCTACTGTGTCATTATTTTAAACCATCCGATGAGAATGCGGTAATCAAACTAAGCTTTTCTCGTCACACAATATTTGTCCTGGGTGGCAATCGAACCCACGACCTCCGGCTTAGCAGTCAGTGTCACTAACCACTAGACCAACAGGCCCGTCAGTATTTATACACACAACATGTATAACGTATGTGTGTGTGAAAACATTTACAAAAATTATTAACAGAGATGGCTCAGCGCATATAGGCCGGAACGATATACACATAGGACTCACATAAAATCAATATTAAGGGATACCTTCCTTGCTTTTCACCGCCCAAAACCGATGATTCTAGTGGGTTGAGGGGGGTTAAAGGGCGTTAATGCACTGGTACCTCTTGAATTGCAGGTGTCCATGAACGACGATAGTCAATTACCATCAGGTGAGCAGTCTGCTTGTTTGCCCCAAACCATACCAAAACTACATTTCTCCACTCATAATCTGTACTTCTTATATTTTCTATCGTTTTTAACACTGTAAAATTCCATAATAAATGTGTATCTGAATGATATGTCAACAGAATTAATATGATATTGATAAAAAGATTGACTGACTGATAGGCAGATTGATTGCATTTTAGCCACCTAACCCCTTCGTTTCGCGTCACATTCATGGCTTTGAGTCGCGCATTTACGAACTACACTGTGTTATTTCGTCTTTGAATAGAATACAATATGCTTTATTGTAATAAATATATCAATACAGTTATGAAAACTCATATCGTTTCAATAACTGTATCAATAACAGGTAATTAAATAAAAAAAACTTTTTTTTTTATTTTACATGTTGCAAAATTGGCTATTTTTATTCAAACGTTTCTTGACGTTAAAGATTACAATTTTACAAAATACTCGTATAAATTATCATTTTCATCATTATCATTATCAAGTGACTAACGCTGCCCTTCAACACAACAAAAGTCACATCACATCAACAGCCTTTAATAGTCCACTGCTGGACATAGGCCTCTCCTTAGAAAGGAGGTTTTGGCCTACTATACCACGCAGACGGGTTGGTATAGGGTTTGTGTCAAGTTTTCCTTCTTTTTACAGTGCTGGTGTCCTGCGTTGTTTTGCGCCCTTAGTCGGCTCTTACGACGCCCACGGGATGGATTGGGGTAGTGACATTCCGTAATCTTAATCCGTCACTACACGGACAAAAGTCACAAGAGCCTCTTTTGAGTGCCCCCTCCAGCGTTGAGGGAGGAAGACATCTTATTAACCTAACTCGCTTCTTAAAATATAATACAAGAATTGCTTAACACTGACATTCTATGAGGCCGTTGATGAACACCTGTCGCCATTTATGTGTCGTGGCTCTTTCACATAGCGAACCAATTTATAGAACGCCCATTCTGCCAATATTGGCAAATGGCAATATATATCTTACTTGATGCTCAAATAGGTCTCATAAAAGTGAACGTAGGCACCAACGAAACCAAAATGGTATCTGCAGTAGGTCAATCAATCGTAGTGGACGTTTCTTGAAAATATAATCCTACAAATCAAATGAATATCCAAAGAACAAATACATTTTAACCATCTGAGAATCTTCTTATTACTTTACTTTCAGATTTTAAATCAGATTAAGTGAATTTGTAGAAGATTTGTCATTATTAGAATCAAGTTAAAACAAGTAAAATAAACGAAATTTCTAACCAGTATTGCAATTTACGCACCCGGAAAGCGCTCACGTCATCAATCACGACAGTGTCTGTAAGCGTCTTGGCCGGGGTAAATCTTTCGTTTTTACCCCCACATACATCACATAGAAGGATACCCGCATTATCTGATGTTTGTGTTTTGAACATTTTACCCCGTTCTTGCCCCTTAACCCAGGCTTAGCTCTCTATGAGATAGATTTTACATTTCGATTCGGTACGGTGGTTCTATTCCCAGAAAGTAAGAAAAATATATCACTGTGATGTGATTTGTTTCTCAAATCTGTAGTCTTGAAAGAATGAGTTTCTGACGCATCACTATTTTTTCCTTTTTAAATACTTATCATAAGTAGCTGTAATTGATTAACCATTCTTAATATAAACGAATTATCCAGCACTGCTCACTACACATTTATAATATCAGTATGGAAGTATGAATCATTGATAATGTAGAAGTAAAATAGTGATAATGTGGGTTTTTAGGCGCTCAGATCAATTTGTATTGAAGAACATATAAATATTTTGTCCCCAAAAAAAAAACTGTAATGCTCATTTTATCACATTTATTTTATTTATTTTTCATCTTCATGCACTTATGTACATTGGCGGACTTAATGCCCTGGGCATTCTCTAACAGCCAACCTTTAGGTGGTTTAGAAATCTTGTGGTAGGTGCACCGAGGTTACAATTGTAATCACTGATCATATATTTTTTTATCAATAAGCTTATAAGACTAAACAAAATTTACACATATCATTCAATTACACATATATATTATATAATCATAACAAAATACAATTATAAAATAATATAATTAATCGATAAGCTTTAAGAACATAATTCATTTGCAAGTAAAACTCAAAATGAAATTTTTAATAGCAATGTCGGAATAGGAAACACCGTCTTACAACGTGGATGTCGTTCAATAGAACCCCAAATCAGTCATAGACAGTTATCAAAAACTGAACGAATGGATTTGACGTGTTACGTGTTAATAAAAGCGAGACATATTATAAAAGAAACAATTTTCAATTCTACAGGAAGTAACTCAATTGATTACTCTATAGATTCATAATAATTTGTTCTGGAGGTTGCCTGGTTGTCTAATTACCACCATCAATAACTTTCTTGATGATGTCATTGATTTACGTACCATGACAGTTCTAGCTATATAGTTGACTAGCTTTTACCCGCGGCTCCGTCCGTGCGTATGTTACTTGCTGATGATGTGACTTCCCATTGGTGAAAGAATTTTTAAAATCGGTTTACTGATTTAGGCGTGAAAGCGTCACAGAGAAACACACTTTCAGATTTAAATTTATAATACGAGTGTTCGTATGTGAGGCTTGATGTAACCATTTTGATGTTATTTTTAAATTTCGTTTTTAACAATAACATCAAAATTTATTATAAATTATTTTAAGTTATTATTAACAAAATAATATATAAATTTTAAATATTCTAAAGCTGCAGTGGGGATTCACTGTCAACTTTTCTAAAACTGGCTACTTACGATTACCAGTTGGGCCTCCAAGTTTGGACTTGATCTACAAATATGACCCTTTGGACATCCTTGTACACTTTGGACATTCATCAGTCAGTCATAAAAAAATTTAAGTCAACCTAGCTATTTATCAACCTTAGTTGCTGCATTTTGTTTCATTTTCTATTTATTTATGGTTTAACACATATATTGTAATAAATACTACATAGCTGTCACTGTTTATCAAAGATTATAAATTCTTAATGAAACCATTGCAAAAAAATAGTTCATTAAAGAACCAAAAGTACAAGTGGCATAATAGCTACCCATTAATGAAGCTAAAATGATAAATAAAATTAACACAATGAAATATTAAAACAGCGTCTGTCACAATCAAAGAACTTTATCTCACACAAAGCAATAAAGATGGTGGGTAATAAAATTATTTCATATGTATTTAATGAACTTTATTTATCTCTCAGCCTAGCCTGATGTTTATTATGGAAATCTTATGATCCCTGTACCACGATATGCCTGTGAAAACCCGAAGTCCTGTTAGTAAGAGTGATCGAAACTATAACCATAATTTTACAAGGATGACCTGGACTGGATATTATTTTGTTTAAAGGCCTAAATTACACAATTTTTAAATGATGTAGTACAATATTCTCTAGTCAAACGCAAGTATTGAACATAAGTATTAGACAAGAACATAGTTTATAAAGGGGTCTTTAAAATAAAAATTAGAAAGACCCCTTTATCGAATGCAACACGAGAATATTTTTAAGCCCTATTGCTGGTCCTGGTCTGGTCCTACAACTAATAGAAGTAACAGGAATTAACTTGAAATATCCAAGGCATACAGTAAAGGTTTACTGTTTAGATATAGAAAACATAGTAACCAAGTGGTAAATAGTTGTTGATATTTATAAATGCCATTTATTTTGTTCTTTCACATCAATATTCTTCGCCTTCTTGATTTACTATGTATTATATTTCAAATTTAAAGACCAAAATAAGGGGAATATTATATAACTCATAAAATACAAATACATAACATATAACAGAAGTTACAATTTGGTTTAACAAACTTGTGACAACGACCAATGCGTGTAATAAAATTGGCGATCCGATATTGCGTGTCGTTTCACACAACGTGGTACTGAGGCCTGAACCTAATTATGGCGACGCTCATTTCGGCGCGAAAATGTGACAGTTCGTTAGGTGCCGGCCGCATCTTGGCGGGAAATGGAATTGTTAGGTTATGAGAAATAAGTTTATACATAGCTGATTC